TGGTACATACTTTCTGTAATAATTGTGTATTGTGCTCTTATACTATTGAGCAAAAATTCAGTAGTGCTATGTATATTAGATATAGATTACTTAGAAACAAAAAACACTTATAGGAATTTGTTCTTATATATCTAATATTATGTAACTAACAAAAGAAAAATCCGTACTAGTAGCCTGTTAGATATTTGAACTCTGCAAATGCCACATTACATGAACCTTCAATTTTTATTTGATAATCATCAATGCCTTGTGTGCCTTTACCAAAATGGATTCAGAAATAATAAGTGGCTGTCACAAAATAGCAAACATACCCCAATACGACTACAATAACGAATTGGTTCTAATCAGTTTCTAAAATTAATGACGACTACATTTGTTATTGTCGAGGGAAAAGTTGCAACGTTTAACATATGGTTAGCCCTTTTTGGTGTACTACCAATGTATAATAAACCACTTATTTACACACCTTTTCATGCAGGAAGACCTAGACGTATTGTGCTATTGACAGCCATGCCATATGAACTATGATCCATCATAGCACAATGCAGCGTAATTTCAGAATAGACATGTAGATTTATTTTGAGTCTTACCCGATAATACCCTCCACTCCATACACTTAATAGGCTTGAAGGGCACCTCTAAAAAATTTGGGTCAAGCTGAAACATTCTATATAGTGACTGAGATAAAAGAATCACATCTGATTCTCTTGTCTGTGCCTTATTAGGCCATGTTGATTTGATTATATGGATGACATCCTCCGGGAGCCCAAAAACTGATGCGCGCGTGCGAATAAAAGAAAAGTTTTGCAAAAAAAAAGTTCTTTTCATTATGAAATCTACGTGGTCATGAGGGTTGAGCAAATAGCACAGAATATGGTTTGGCGAATAATCTAGTCTTCAAGTTCATTTCTTTATAATTTCGTAAAGTTTTTCGTTTGATTTTGGCATTCTACGACATTGGTATAGTTTTTATTAATTTTTTTTGTAACTTATGGTATATTTTTGCTCATTTTGCAACTGTTTTGTACGATTTACAGTATGGTTGAAAACTTTTTTTTTTTGGAAACGGCCGAAAATTCATGCGCGCGCGGATGTCATCCATATAATCAAATCAACATGGCCTTATATACCATATACAGGGCTTGAAATACTGGGTGCCTGTGCACCTAAGTGCACCCAAATTTGGAGCTGTGCACCCAATTTTTTTTCTGGGAGTGCACCAGTGCACCCAAATATTTTTGTGGGTACTTTTGTACAGATTAAATGTATAATAGTATACAGGATATTCTTGGCATCTAAGGGGCAGGAAAATAAAATCTTTCTTGTACTAATGTAGTACTTGTATAAGATTTTGCAGTTAGGCCCCATTTCAGATTCAAGCTTAGAAGAGGAGCAATAAGATTGATGATTAGGTTTTGTTTTATATTTTTTAGGTTGGGTGCACCAGTGCACCTAATTTTCCCAAAAATGAATTTCGAGCCTTGCGTATATGATCAAATACCCATTCTGAAACACCTTACAATATTCATCCTTCAAAAACAGGAGTAACTGTTCCTAGCTAATTACATTTATTTATTTATTAGAACAACAATTCAATCTTCTTTTATTTTTTGCTATCACTCTATACAAATATAGGTAATACATTAAAGGGCCTAGAATAGAATGAAGAAGTCACCAATGACTTAAAATACCAGTATTGGTAAAAAAAATTTGTAAAAAATCAATAAAACATTGTGATGTACATCATTATGTACAAAATACCCAAATAGTATGTCTGACTTGAATTTGTGAAACTGGGCATTTTTGTAACACTCTTAAAGGCATCCAGGTTTAAGGCTTGGCAAGCCCATTTTTCAAAGCCAATATTCTAGTAATTTATCTACATACTGAGTTGAAACCATGTAGTATACAATGACCTACGTGGAGCCAAAACTCCCAAATTTCTTACACAAAATGGTTACTGGAAGGGCTATGGGCTGATTTTTAGGGTACCACCCAGAAAATAAAGGACTCTGCAGTTTTAAAAGCCCAAACTATGAAATGCTGATTGAAATGTGCTAATGTAAATCAGTAAGTGTCAATATCACAAAGATTGCCTTATTCAGAATATTTCCAGTTTTGCTGCCCTGAAATCGCATTGGATACCTTTAACAGGTGGTTTTACCTATGTTGTATATGTGATACTCCCTATGGTCCATGTTGGTATATCCACATAGTAAGTGGTACGATATGTCAAATGCATACAGGTGAAAGTGATCATATAAATGCCACAATCTAATGTCAATTTTTACAGTAATTCTGCCAACAATTAAGAATGGCACATCGAAAAAACAGAAAAATTGAATTTACAAAGATCTACTAATGTCTACTTTTTATATACATCACCTAATATCTTTTTACATTAAATTGGTTGCACATTTTTTTACTATCTAGTCAATTTTCTTTTTTTTCGACAGCATTTAAAAGAAATGTTGTCCGTAACAGAATTCAAACATACGTGTATCACCAACAAAATATTGGTGATAGAAAATATATCAAATATATAGTGCCCACATTAATAAAGTACTTGTTTTAGAAAGTTCAAACCATCCTAGGAAACAAGATAGACTTGAGACATACGATCGCCATGAATAAGAAACTAAAACTGGAAGCTATTCTAACACTATGATAGTACTTCATCAAAGAATTCCTTACTTTCAAACTGTACAACTATAGAAATCTTGCAACATAAAACTAGTTCCATCACTCAGAATTTTTAAGCGTTCCACTAGGTTTTCCACTAGCTCACACAACTTCACCATCCAAATTCCTTGTTCAAAATCTTTTTACAGTGACAGTTTCTTTCCCTGTACGGCCAAGCTTTGGAATTCCCTCCCTGACAAGTGTTTCCCACCAACCTACAATCTACAGGCTTTCAAATCAAACGTTCACCGCCATCTCTTGACATAGCCATGTTTCTCTCATATTTCTAGTTCAATGCCGAGAAGTGGTCATATAGGCCTTGCATTGAACCACATTAAAAAAAAAAACTTACCAAATCTTTTAGTGTTACCAAAAAAGGAAAATTTATTTTTATTTACATTTAGATATGAAGGAATGTAATAGATTCTATACCACACAATAGTAAGGTACTATTTAGAGTTGGCCACATTGCACTACCATCATATACATTCTAACAGTGGGGAGGGGGGAGGGAGTTTATAAACCATCTTTATATCATATATACCATAGTACAAAAAAACAACAACAAAAAACAGATGTTGCAACCAATCCAGTCAATATTGATTAAGCTTTTGTTCCCAATTGTTTGAATGAGATTAGGTCTATGATTAAAGAATTATGCCCATCTTATAATATGCCACACCCTATTTCAGTGGATTTCATGTAGTGGTAAGAAAGAACATATCTGTAATGTTTCGTCTTTTCCTTGGTGTTAGAAGTAAAATTATTTGATTCATATATTTCAAACATATTAGTAGATGTTAATTTACTCTAATAGTTTCTTTGATTGCAATCACACTTAAATGAGTGTATACAAGTATAACATGTGTATTTATTCATTCAAAATATTACATATCGCACCTTAAGAAGTAAGGTGAAAATATGTGATTTCTAGACTATTCGAATAAAATTTTTTTTATATTCAAGAAGAGAAAATGATTATCAATATACGACATAATATAATACGCAATGTATAAGCATTGTCAGTACCCATTCATATAGCTTGAATTCCTTTATAATTCATGATCAGTACTAAAATAAAATTATGTAACTTTACATTCAAAAATTCCAACTAGAAAACTACATCTGTGAATAAAAAGATTGGATTAAAATTTGCATGGAAGCATCATGTAAAGGTATAAGATCGCCCCCCCCCCTTCTTTCCCCGCCCCACCCACCTAACATGCATGTACAGCAAATACTACAGTATACAAAGGCGTATAACGGTCCACCTGTGTGTCGTATACGCACGGATACGGGGTGTATAGAGTGCAATGGTGGGCTGTATACTGGGGTATTTTAAGCTAGGACAGAGGAAGGGAGATTGTATACGGCCCAGCCTAACCAGTGGATCAATAACGCTTCCGTGCGGCCAAATACTGATGAGGAAAACCCGACGCCATCTTGGGGCCCCCTGGAGGTGCTAGAAAGGGAAAACCACTCTCACTTTCCACTCTCACTTTCCATCCACGGCTCGAATTTCCGTCTCAAATTACATCAACATTACGAACACCCAGAAGTCCTACAGGGGGGTGGGGGGATATTTTTTAATGAGAAATACGGTATTTTTAAGGGTTGAAATGTTTGTATTTTTACGTTTTTCGCGATCGAAGGCGGCCATAGCTAAGGCAGGTATTTCCAACATGGCGGCCGCCCGGCCACGGATAGAATAGATGACATCTGCGCTGCTGCAAAAGCCGGTTTCTATCCCGACTCCTAACCAGTCAAACCTACCAGGGACAACACAGACGCTAAGGGCTTTTAAAGTACTCTAGTAAAAATAGCACCCTGTTGAAGTATTATTGTGGTGGTGGTGGGATAGGGTCGAGTTTCCGACAGTGTCTGTAGCTAAAACTCAACCACCTGTCTTCTGGTTCAGCCTCGATGGACACACATCCAAAATACACCTAGAATCGACAGTCTAAAATTCATTTCATCATCAAAACCACATCTAAGAGAGACCTTGCCTATTCCCCAGGCCAAAAACTCCCTACAGTCTGCTAAGAAATATCCCCAGTGGAGACATCGCGATATTAAGGGTGTGTTTTGAAAAAAAAAGGCCTCACAACAACCTGCTTAACTGAGTGATGGTTTCACACCTTTTCATGATGAAAGGGCAGAAATAAATACATTTTCGCGCAATATTCCTCGCAAACGGTATGCTGAAAGTTCAGAAAGGCAAGGAAAATTATTGGCGTGGGTAATGGTGGAATATAAAACGTGTGTTTTGTATAGATTTGTCTACGAACGTCATCTTGAGGTGGAGGGGTGGTTCATACCTTATCATGGCTTGTTCCTTCTCTTCCTCGGCCTTCGCTCGTGCCATAACCTCTTCGATAATCTTTCTCTCCTCGTCCGTGAGGTGGGAGAGATCAGGCTCCGGACAGACGCCTCCCCCACCCCCTAAGGACGCCACCCCGGGGGTGACGGGCAAGCTGGCGCGCCTCATCCCCGTGCTCTGCCCTGCCTTCATCGAGCTTGTACCGCCTGTGGGGACCGTTTTAAACTCCTCCTCGCCCGCGTAAAACTGCTAAAACCCGCGCTCCTTCCGTCCTGCGTCCCTCCATGGTCACGGCAGCATCTCAGAAAACCCCTGGGGGTCGGGAGGGGGGGTACAATCGGGCGTGCGCCCCTGCTACAGAGTCTATAGATGCGCAGAAATAGCGACGGAGACCGCTGGTTTTCACAGCAATCAATTGCAACATTAAGGGACGGTACGTTACGCACGCGGACTGGGGGCGGCGGCGTCACTTCCTGTTTGAACCGGATGTTGGCTTGCCGATCATAGCCACGTTACGCAAATCTCAGGCTGGCAAATCTGTAGTCTAACTACGCTGGCTAAAATGTAATATCTTTTTTCTGAAGCAGTAATTTGTAAGTACCTAAATATTAACTTGCGACAAATTGTGTAACTATGTGATGATGTAACAATTTCTGGTATTCTCAAAGGGGCGTTATGCAACATTTTGCACCAGAAGTTGAAATATTTATATTGAATAAATGCTTCCTGGATCCACTTTTTAACAAAGCTGTGATATTATTTCATATTTCTGACATTTACGGTTGGCAATATTGATAAAGAGCCTACACGAGGCGCGCTTATTTTGTGGTACCACCACAAAATACCAGAATGTAACAAACGAACACTGGTGGTAACAAACACTCACTGTACTAATGGTAGATAGAAAAATATGACGATTTTGTGAAATCACAAGTTCACAAGTTTTAAGACCCAAAAGCACCTGTATAGAAATGTGATCTTTGATCGCTGACACTTGTGATGTTGATTTAGTACATTGTTTGCCTTTTTCAACCTAGTTACTACGGAATGTATGTGCTACTGGAATGGCAAGGCCGATTTACTGGTAAAAGTCGAGAAATCTTACTGTCCATACTAGTTGTATCAATTATTATACCCTTTTTTCTAATTCCATCTACTTAGATCTGCCACTTATTTATTTGTGACCCTTGTACGTTTTTTCATGATTGGAACCCAGATAGGACCGCGTGTTAAGATCACGACTAAAGAATAGCCTCCTTCGCAGACATGTTGGGCGGCGGCATTATTTTTTCGGTGAGCGACGCGAGTTATGCCGCGGATGGACGATTTTGCCGAGGGAGTTTTTGCCACTGAGAGAACAGAGGGTTTGTTGGAGCGGGAAACCTCCTCTCGTTTGTAGTACAACTAATCTCTAAGCAGATGTTTCGGTGGCTGTAAAGACAGTATCAAATTGGCCAGGCAGTATCCATTTGACAGTTACTATAGCTTTGTTTCTTTGTTTGTTTCTTTGTTTGTTTCTTTGTTTGTTTCTTTGTTTGAACCATTCTTTACATATGAGAAGCTGAAATCGGCCTGCAGGGCAATTTTTCATTGAGGTCATGAGGGAAGAGGTAAGGATCAGATATAACTGTAACTGTAGGCACCACAAGCTAGACCTAACATAGACAGAGACCGCATATTTATTTTGATTAACTTTAGTAAATACGTTGCTGTTGACGGATGAACAAAATGCTGGAAATGTACACCGAACGCCCAGGCGACGGTGATTAGATGTTAGTACGTCGCAAAATAAAGTCTGGGCGCGAAATTTTTAGCAGTATGAGTGATTGAGTTTGTAGATTTCAAACTAGCAATCCTGTCCTTGGTGCTGAACACCAGCAACACACTTTAGTCAACCCGCCCTTGGTGCTGAGCACCATCTACACACTATAGTCAACCCGCCCTCGGTGCTGAACACCATCTACACACTATAGTCAACCCGCCCTTGGTGCTGAACACCATCTACACACTATAGTCAACCCTCCCTTAGCTTGGTGCTGAACACCATCTACACACTATAGACAACCCGTCCTTGGTGCTGAACACCATCTACACACTATAGTCAACCCGCCCTTGGTGCTGAACACCATCTGCACACTATAGTCAACCCGTCCTTGGTGCTGAACACCATCTACACACTATAGACAACCCGCCCTTGGTGCTGAACACCATCTACACACTATAGTCAACCCGCCCTTGGTGCTGAACACCATCTACACACTATAGTCAACCCGTCCTTGGTGCTGAACACCATCTACACACTATAGTCAAGCCGCCCTTGGTGCTGAACACCATCTACACACTAGCAAACCTGTCATTATGTTTCCCGAAGGAAAACATATTGTTTTTGCTCAGTTTCTTCTTCTTCTGTTCCAAACACTATAAGGCCAATGGCCGGGACCAGACGTCTCTCACCATGGTAACTGGTGTTGGGTTACATCATGTTGCAAGTGCCATGCAGAACTTCGTACTCCAAGAGGGCCTGTGTTGTCACCATATATACGAATGTGTTTGAGTAAGAAAAAGAACAAAGCAGTAGTTTCTGAAGCTGGGCCATATGAAGGGAAACATAATGCATTTGCTTTGCAAATTTAACTTTCTAGTTTACCAGACACTTTTAAATATCGCATCGACCACATAGATAGACTACGTTCTACTGTTACTGTGCCATTTTCTCCCCAATGGTACAATAGAGTGGCCGGTGTACCGCTCAATCAAGCTATATCGGGTGTTGGCACGGATCCTAAATTGTATATGTAGCAGTTTAAAGGCCCTTATGTTGGAACATAAGGGTTTTGAAATATAAAAGTTCAGAACGATGGTCAGATAGGTACAAAGATTGCTATAGAATTGACTTTTGGGGTCGCCATGCCTGCTGTCTAATGGAGGTCGGAGGTCACCAAGATTGCTGTAAAGCGAGGGTCGAAGGTCAAGATGATTACTATGAAACAAAGGTCAGAGGTCGCTAAGATTGCTGTCAAACGAGGGTCAGAGGTCGCCAAGATTGCTGTGAAACGAGGGTGAGAGGTCACCAAGATTGCTGTGAAAGAAGGGTCAGGGGTTGCTAAGATTGCTGTGAAACGAGGGTGAGAGGTTGCCAAGATTGCTGTCAAATATGGTTCAGCGGTCGCCAACTTTGCTGTGAAACAGAGGTCAGAGGTCAGCAAGATTGCTGTGAAATGAGGGTGAGAGGTCGACCAAATTGCTGCGAAACGAGGGTCAGAGGTCGCCAAGATTGCTGTGACATGGAGGCCGTGGATCTTGCTGTGAACCGCGGCATTTCCCTGCTGTGGCCGCTGTCCTCCTCCCACCACAAGCCACCGGCTGACATATTCCGACAATTGAGCGCCAGTCATTTTAACGAGCATCGCGACCCCCGTCCCGTGGGGTACATTGTACCGGCATCAGAAGGGCCTCAATTATTTATAAACCCGAGGAGAACGCTCTCTGTTTCACAGGGTAAAAGCCTCGCCCACTAATGGATTGGCTTCTGAAACAAGCGCTTATACAGAGATCAGTACTACACTACAGAGACATGCCTTTTGGCAAGCGTTTGGGCCCAGCTTTTGTGAACTTCAATCTTTGCTTTTTCTTAAAATGACGTACGTGTTTTCCCTACCAGATAGGTTTTAATACCTGTAAGCCACCGCCCATCTTCCCTTAGAACACTGTTGTAATCTCCAAGCAGATGCTACGGTGGCAAAATCGTAACCAATCGGAAAGTCAGCTGCATTATCCAAATGGCCTCGGTGGTTGGTGGACACTGCCTTGCCGGTTGGTTACAATTTCGGATCTGCTTTGAGCTCTGGAGTCACATGGTCACCTTTGATAGTAGCGTCCAATGGGCCTTTTTAACGGTTACGTTTTGAATAAAGGGCTTTTGATAAACCAGTCAGCAAACTGCTTCTCTGGTCTCTAGAAGCTAAAAGAAAGAGAGGCCGTCCATATACAAAATCAAGACTGAGACTGGATTAAGAAGGAAAGAACTATAAAAAAAGTATGGACATGTATGACAGAGACAGGAAGAAAAACTTTGTGTTAGCTTCCAGTCATTGATCACGAGTAGAAATATAGATAGAATAGATAGAATGGGCTTTTCCCGCTTGAAACAATTATGTAGTATGCAGAGATCACCCTGAATACTGCGAGCATATTATACCACTGCGAAATAAAGACTGTTATAATTCGTGGGATTTAACCATTTCTCTTGACGCTTTCTGAGAAGTCCGATTTTTCTGGGCTTTAGGAGAAACAGACAAAACGTGGGCAATCCGCCTTATGATATGAACACATGAAGCTTTCATTCCCTCCTACAATTATTTGCGTTGATTACTTGATAATGATTCAAGATTCAAGATATCTTTATTGAGCTATCGCAGTGAAAATATCACTGAATTGCAGTCAATTTACAATTTGTTTTAAAAGCGCTCACAAAGACATATAATATTGCACAAAATTCTGAATCCTTTGGTTCATATCATAATGCCTGAATTGGGTGTTTTGTTATAGAATCTTACTGCTTTAGAAATGGCAAGGGATCGAACCTTATTAAACCTGAGATGACAGACAACGGAAAAAATATCACAGAATTCTGACAGTTCTTTCGCTTGTAATAATGACAATGAACACGCTTAATACGGGTTTAAGTCATTACGTTAGATACCTTAACAGACGAGAGGGAAAATCATATATATCTACAGTCTTTTCTCTCTTCTTTAACCATATGTAGACAAATTTACAGATTTTTTTAAAATTTCATCAGTTTTTAAATGGCATACTAGTAATATTCGTCAACATTTCGTCCTTTGTGTTGAATGTTCATATCATTGATCAATTTTTACTCAAAACACGCGTCCAGAAGCTAACTTCAACAACTGAAATAAGACACTTGAATTAGATTAGAAACCAGCAATAAAATGTTGATATCTGGTACAATCTTGTTCGGATGTCCTCCTATCGCATCAATGCACTGTCCCCATCTCCTCTCCACGGCGTAATGCTGCGGAGGAGGGGTGCCCTGCCAGCCAATCAGCGCGCAGGTGGATATGACGTCACGACAGGCCCCCTGAGGCCGCTCCTGGCCCGCTGGTTGGTGGAGACGGTGCTGACGTCATGACCTATGTCCCCAGGGACGGGTTCCGGCAGGTGGTTCGCACAGAAAAAGGTGACGTCATGGCAAAAAGAAGGGAGGAAGGCCTCATCTTGAGGCTCCAATGGGGCAACTGTGGTTTAGGTATCCCAAAATACAAAAACAGGGAATACCTAGCGACTGGTAAGTATTCAGATACCTTTAACCTTGACTTGAAAATGGCGTCGGCACTTGTCCATTTTTCCAAGTCATTTTCAGTGCATGATCTGGACGCAAAACGCTACCTTTTATCGAATGGTTTCTTCCACCTCTCCCCATCTACGTGTCTAGAAAATTGTGATAATGCACCTTCTTTCCAAATGTTTATAAATTTGAATCGTTTTAAGGTTAGGAAATTATGTTAAAGTCGAAAGAACTGAAATACACGAGGTAAAACTGTGTACTCGGGTGACTGAAAACCCCCTACTCCAGCCTCCACCTTCCGTGAATGAACAAATTATGTATTACTACAGAGCTGGCGGGCGTGTCGTCACACAGACACAGCATTCCATTCATGGTATCATATCTACCGCCTATCTGGAAAATGTCCAGGCTATGCAAGATGTACAAAATAACAAATAAACTGGTGGACGTACCAACTACTGAGTTTGTACTAGCAATACCTGCCGAGAAAAGAACAAGAAATAGTCATGCCTTCAAAGCTATCAACCCAGGATCCAGGTATCTGTTACATGGTATATAACGTTATTATCCCAAATTTCAACCAATCTTTTCTCTCCCTATTCAGTACCCCAGCCCTTGAAATTTTCAATGGAGAGGTAAAAGTGGAGGATACCAGACTCAATGCATTAGTTGCATCGTATCTGCAGCCCATCTAGTGGAAGATTTGATCTTATACACCCTTTCCATTCTATGAACGAGTATACTATTATAACACGACCGTATCCTCTAAGCTAGCATTACGGGAACCCCTCATATTTTTGCAGCTTTGCATTTGGCCTTGGATTCATCGATATCTACGCAGTCACCTTGATACCGTGGTCGAAACGTAACGCTATTACTGGCAATACTGCATATTTATTTGATTTTCTTTATTAAATTTACCACATAAACCCATGGGCTTACTCATGGCCAAAATGCTTCTCTTTTTTTTTTATAAATATAATTGTCTATATCTGTAGCATGTCTTAGAAAAGGCGTGTTTAAAAATACGGATACGGAGTGCCCCGGATTGTTGCTTTGATGGTTTTAAAAAGAAGTGCATTTATAGAAGTACTTCCTCTGTGCGAAAATAAGCCCCTTTGTGTCTGCAAACCGCCAATGGCGGATGCTCTCTTGTCTAGCTGATCCCCGGTATTTTGAAAATACGTCACTCGCTGTGCCGAAATGACGTACACGTTATTTGATATCGTTGGGTCATTATAAGAACGATTCAGTGAACATTGTGCTTGAGACCCCATTTTTTGCGAATTAATTGACTTAAACGCAATGTCGTCATGTGCAATGATGTCATCGTCCAAGGCCGTGTTTATGTGAAGTCACCCAAACCGCGATTCGGGTAACTCACATTCCTCACATCTGGTCCACGTGCCACACAATCCTTTGAAACCGTGTCCGATCACAATTCGCCTGAGCTACACTTATTGTTGTTTGATGAAAACACGCAAGGTAGCGTGTTATTAATGTCAGAGGTCAGCGACCTGCTTGCTGGTGCCCTCCCAGCGTATCTCGGCCGAATGGCGACGTGGTCCCGCCAGAGGCGGTGAAGCTCGCCCTAGAACGGACACATTATTTGACCATTACTGCTCTTTAAGTTGCTGCCACGTAAAAGTTGGTATTGCATATAAATAAAAAAATATCACCCCCTAATCTATGACCAGGCGAAGTTACATTGAAATCACATTGCGTTCAGCAAATCGCGATGCAGAAAAACCGATTCGAAACCACCTCTAGAAGTGGTTTGGGATCGAGGCGCTTTCAATGTGATTTGGAGCGTTCAGATGGAGCCAGTTGAAACCGGCTTCGGGGTAAACCACATGTAAAGCGCCTTGGGTGACTTCACATAAACACGGCCCAAGTACAGTAGCTGCGGCTGTTTTCTGATCACGTGAACAGTGTTATTATACGAATTAAAGAAATTAGGTGAATCATGATTGCGCAATGGCGTCAGGTTTTTTTTAAATATATATTCCAACATGTAATCACAAGACGTGGTGACGGTACAAGTTTTTTCAACTAATTAGGTCACAGCAAGTAAATTTCATGGATGGCATCCTCCGCAGACTACAAATCTAACGCGATAGGGCGAAAAAACAAGGCGGGCCACGAAAACAAGATTCCTACATTGTCAAATTTTGACATCATAAACATTATTAAACAAGAAATGATACCTATATTGTGCTAAGTTTACTGCCAACAATTTCATATTCAGGAGGGCGTAAAGTAAGTACTATGCAGTAATGTGCAACCATCGGTTTTAAAATGATTTTCCATAATATTTACTAGCGCATATGTATGAGCTTGGATGAAAATATTTGAAAGCGAGCCCATCACCAATCTGTGCTCGGAAACTGTTGGGTATGTTTTTCTTACCGTAAAATCACTAAGGCCACGTACAGCAAGTAAATTTTATGGATGACATCCTCCGCAGACGCCAAATCTAATGCGAGCGGGCAAAAAAAACAAAACAAGGCAGGCCGAAAAAAACAAGGTTCCTACATTTCCAAATTTTGACTCAATAATTGTACAAATGATTTTGATTCAGTGGGAACATCACATATACACAGCCAGCATCACATATCACTGTATCAAAGAAAACCACAAACATTAAGTCAGAGCCTTGTCTTGTCTCCTCTTTTCGTTCCAGCATTGAGACAGACATCTTTGCACATTTTCACCATGTTGACCACTGTCAGAAGGCAACAAAACTTATTGTTTTTTTTTCAAAATCAGGCGAAAATTAATGCGCGCGCTGATGTCATCCATAAAAATTACTTGCTGTGGCCTAACGTTAACGTACAGTAGTACGGTTGCTGGCATCAAATGTAAGCCCACTGGTTATGCTAACGTAAAACACAAGATAATCACATCATGTCATTAGAAAAAGTACGGACATCGCAACCAGCTTATAATGTATGGCACAAAGTCACACACAAACACATGCAATACACTAGAAAGGTAGCATTTGCAAAGTAAATGCATGATGTTTACCTTCACATATGGTCTGCTCTGTTAATTCTTACCAGACATATTCATGTAACGTTATATGGTGAGAGGAGTCTAAATCCCTCCTGCTATAAAACTACAACATGATGTAACCCAACACTAGTTACCATGGTGATAGACGTCTGGTTCAGGTCAATGACCTTATTAGTTTGGAGAAGAAGAAGAAACTGAACAAAAATAATATGTTTTCCTTCGATAAACATAATCACACCATGTCATTAGAAAAAAGTACGGACATCGCAACCAGCTTACAATGTATATGGCACACACTCGCACACACTTACACACAAATACAAGCAGTACAAAACACAACGTGTTCCGCTATGGAGCAGGTCGGATTTTCATCTCCGTGCGCTTCAGCGAGTTATTTCCACCCTTCCAGGCTACCCAGTGCACGCCGTCCCCCAGGCTCTCGTGAGTACCCAGGTGGTACTGGCCGTTCAAGTTGGAGCGGAGGCAATTGTAGAACCACCAAGCACCTTTGGCCGCCCGAGCACAGCTACCGGAAGCACTGTCGTCGTTGTCCCTGTCCCTGGTACTGAATTGTTCCCCGTTATGCTTCGTCAAGCTATCTCCTGTGACAAAGATAAACATTTTTTTATTGTATTTTATAGAAGGATACATATAACACAATCAGAAAACTAGAAAGGTAATATTTGCAAAGCAAATGCATCATGTTAACCTTCACATGGTCCAGCTTAACAAACTACTGCTTTGTTTATTTTTACTTTGGCAGAAAAGCTGAGAGAAAACTATCACACTACACAAGACACCAATCTTACCTGCAGTACCGCTATAATTCCCTATGTGGAGCCTGTAGTTCTGGGATTCAGGCGAGATGGCAAACGTGTCGTAAGCGGCGTACGCCGTCTCCCCCTCCACATCCTCCATATCCACCCTGAGCTGGTAGACTTTCTGCACAGCCAGGCGGTACAACTTGTCATTCCCCAGCCAGAACTCGCCGTTCAGGTTGGAAGGGAAGCCGGTCCTGTAGGCGACCCAGTCCCGGTAAAAGTCCACCGTCCCGTCTCGGCGCTTCTGGAACAACTTCAAGAGGAAGAACAGCTAAATGTGAAATCCTGGCAGCCGAAAATTCAATATCTCAATATAGTAAGAAACTAAAAAGATAACATTTGGAAAGCAAATTCATAATGATTACCTTCGTATATGGTCTCCTCTGTTAATTCTTACTCGAACGCACACATGTATAAGGTCAGACAGGAGTCTAAATCCCTCCTGCTATAAAATTGCAACATGATGTAACTCAGCACCAGTTACCATGGTGACAGAGGTCTGGTTCAGGTCATTGACCTTTTTGTTTGGAACGAAAGAAGGGGAAGCAGAGAAACAACATTATGTTTTCCCTCGGTAAACATAACTAACTATATATGCAGAATTGGATCCATGTCTTACACGTGGAATCATAAAATGACCAGACTTACCGTCCAGCCGCCCCCGTCCGTTTCCATGTCACAGAAGACCATAAAGCTACCCAGGTTGTCCCGTGGATAAACCATGTACACGCCACTGGGCGTGGTCTCGTCGTTGTCAAGTATGTCCTGACAGTCCTGGGGCTTGTCGGAGTCTGTGTCGTTGGCGTTAGCTGAGGTGGAGAGTACAGTAAACATATATATCTTCATAGCGTAAGCACCAGGTGTTCTGTGAATGCCTTTAAGACATATAAGGCGCGCGCATTGATATTCGCCTGTTCTCAAAAAAAAAAAAAAAAAAAACCGTCGACCTCTGAGGTTCTGGCCTGGCTCTAGGCCCGGGTAATCCGTGGTAAAAGCGACAATACGGAGCCGGTGGTAACTCTGGAAGACCCTGTACATACGTACAGTTCCGATTCATAAATTTCACAAAAAGCCAGCATGTGCCGGCTTGTCGTATACGTAGCTATGTACTGCCGCAAATTCACAATACCAGCTTTGTATTCCTGTGGTTTAGTAGCATTTCTATTTTTGGCCGAATCTTTTATTCACCCGCGCGCACAAGTTTGGGGTTTTCAGAGGATGTCATCCATAAAATCTATATGTCGTTGTCGTATGGAAACACTATGTAGTCTTACCTTTGGGACAATCGGCTACTAGTATCTTCTCCGAGAGTCGGTCCATCGAGACTTTCATCTGCTCCAACTCTGCTTTAAGTGCGCTCTCGTCTCCACAATTCACCACCGGACTGCACACACATTTCTCGTCGGACGGTGGCCTACAGAGCAACGTTGACTGGGCCCAGCACAGCGACACAAACGTCACCAGGAACACCAAGAGACATTGGAAAGGCAACGCCATTACATGGTTTCGTTACACAGCACACCGGTATGTGGTTTGTTTACCTTGCACGATACAGTACAATGAAGCGTGTTTAACCGGGGATGGGTATCATAGCTAGCTGACGTCATTAAAACAAGACTAAATCCATATTTCTGACTGTCTGACAGAAAGTTTGCAGCCTTGCCTCTATTGTTAACCTGATAAAGTTTGAGAACACCGTGTTTCAATGTAAGAGAAAGCCCCAGGCGTTAGCATCCGTGGCCAAACGTAGGGGGTGCATTCCTCTATACATCCAACAGGAGGCGCTGCAGCTCGAGTGTTTTCAGTCCTTACCCATTCAATGCAATTTCAGGGCGGCAAAACTTGATTTCCTGGTAATTCTTTTAATGTGGTAAGTTGAATCAATCCCATAGCATAGCATATACTGATATCCGTGAGGCAATTGTATTGCGAAATATTTCTGTACATGCAGAACTATTAGCTATAAGCTTCAATGCTGAATTGTACATGTACTTGTATGGCTTTTGAAAACCATTGTTTTGCGCATTCATGTGAATGCAGAATTATTAGCTATAACTATAAGCTTCTGATCAATGCTCAATTGTATATGTACTTCATTACTTGTATGGCTTTTCATTGAGACATAATAATTGTAATCTTAATACAAAGTGACCGTATTGGTGGTTAATGTTATGTGGATTACAGAAGTGGTATGTTGGTGTGTTTAACAGATGAGGGCCTGCATGCCCTTTTTCGCAAGGCCTAATCAGGCCTTTTTAGACTTCGTAATTCATAGGCAGCCTCCGCAAAAATCAACGTAAGTCGTAATAGGACATTAGCCGCAAACCGTAATCAGCTCTGAGACTTTAACGTAATTCGTTATAGGCGGCGAAAATTTTGCATATCACTACCCCCCATACAGACCCTCACAGATGTGCACTGTGGCCCAACATGAGACATCATTTGAAACGTCTGTACAGATGTACACACCCATTATACATGTAAACAGCAGGTATTAAATCATTAGAATAGAAATAAAAAATCACAAAGAACCACTGGTGGATTTTTAATTGTATTTTTACCTTTCTGGCAAGATAGCTGCAACAAGTAATGTCGCATGAGGCAACAACATGATGAAAGCAACAATACAAGATACAAAGTCGTACACTAGCTACCAAATAAGTACAAGAACAATGCCGACATACTCATAAACCTTTCCACATAAACATGTTACATGTAGGCAACATCTGTTAGTTAGTAAAGAACATAATAGCAACCACATAGCATTAACAATAAACCCCAAAACATATTACAAAAGCTTTTACCACCAAAAGTGACTTTATAGCTAATATCAATACATATCTTTTTTAAGCTACTAGTATGCAATCCTGATACAAACAATAGTGGCAAAAGAAATAATTGTGAATATGAGAACAATATTACGTTTCAGCTTAAACAGAAATGAAATACTTCTACACCAACACCCAAACAACTTAAAACTTCTCTAGTTTCATACCCTTCCTCAAAAATATGTGAAACAGACATTCAAAAGGATCTTATCAAAGTTCAAACATTTTTTCTATACTTCAACCCTTCGTTAATACAAGTCCAGAAGGCATCCATGAACAGTTTCATAGGTTTGGTACATGTAATAACAGGATTCCTTTTACACTACCAAAAGTCAGGTCTTTACTTTTGGTTGCCTAAAAAGAACCCTTAATATTTGTCAAGAAGGCACCATCAATCAGTCATTCAGTTCATTATCTATCTATTGTTGGTGTATTGAACTTTACTTCAACAGTTCTTATCCTATAAAATCTGAGCACTTCTGGTGACAGAAATCCTTTTGTCCATAAAACACTAAAAAAAGTTGCCTTTTCTTGATTACCTAACTTTCACAACTACACAGTTCAAAAATGTTAAAAGTGTACAAATAATAGCTGTAAAATCTACTGTCCAGATTTGGCAGCGTTTGAAAACAACCCTGTCTGCGAGAAGACTACACTGTTCTGTTCTGTTCTGTTCTGCTAGCAGCAAATACCCCGACTTCACCAAGGCAAAAACTGGTCAGCCATCTGCAAGGACATAAAGTTTTGCAAAAGTCAGTACAAAATGTAATAAGAAAGAAAAGGTAGCATTTGCAAATCTAACGCATAATAATAATATGGTCTGCTCTGTTAATTCTTACTCAAACACATTCATATATATATGGTAAAACAGGAGTCTAAATCCCTCCTGCTATAAAATTGCAACATGATGTAACCCAACACTAGCTACCATGGTGACAGACATCTGGTTCAGGAAATGGACCTTATTTGTTTTGAGAAGAGGAAGAAGAAGAGGAAGAAGAAACAGAGCAAAAACAGTATGTTAACCTTTGCAATAACAATGTACAAATGAATAGACAAAGCAATGACAGTACAGTACAGATAACTAAAGAGAACTGTTCCCATTTTAGGAACTACAGATAGGGGCTCAAAAGAATGAACAAAAGAACATGTTAATTTGTTGAATCATTCAGGTACAGTTGCAGGTCCGGACCTGTACCTAAACCCGTGTACCTATAACGTTACTTGTACCTGTACCAAGATTTGTATAGGTACACATCTGTAAGTCAGGCTACTGTGTACCTGTACCTGTACCTAAGATTTGTATAGGTACACATCTGTAAGTCAGGCTACTGTGTACCTGTACCTAAGATTTGTTTAGGTAGTACACAGTTGAAGTCAGGCTACTGTGTACCTGTGATCAGGCCTCTTCTGCATTCTTCAGTGGCACCTCCTCCATCTCTCCATTCTTGATGATGGAAGCGTCCTTGTTGTTGTCCTTGTCCTCCGTCTTTTCTGGGGGGTTTTCTGGATCCTTGTTCTTCAGCGGTTCCGCTTCCGTCTCCTCGACCTTGTTGAAGGTCACCACGTCGGGTTTCTTGTTGGGCTGGGGGCCGAATCTCTTGGAGGCACAGTACGCGCCAACTCCGATGGTGAGGAACAACGCCAGGAGGCCTAACACGATACCCACGATAGCGCCACTGCCGAGTCCACCTTTTTGTGGTTTTGCTGAAATCATGGCCAAAACTTGTGTGAATGCAAATTGTATAATATACAATGTATACATAATGATTTGTGCCAACCCCTGCATTATGGTATACATATTAAAGACTGTATAGATATAAGACATTCCTCCAATGATTGTACAACTTCATACCTATCCCAAACTAGCCACCCACACTTGTATTAGTTAGGTTAGCCTTATGAAAGTGTAATATGTACTAATAGATGTCATACTTTGTACACATAGATTCCAAGCTATGCAATATGCATAGAACTTAGAAGACCCAATATACACAACATGTGTTGTATATAGTATCAAAGTACTGTATAAAGTATCAAACAATACCTACCACCTCTGCCTTTTTCCCCAGGCTTGTCACTGGTCTCCATACCACCTGTAGGCTCAGGTTCAGCACTAGGGGCAGGTGTGGGGGCATCAGCTGGAGAATATCAAACAATGGTTGGATGTAAGATGTGCAAAGGTTAGGTGTGACCATCATTCAATGTGAATTGAAATAGATCATCAGTAATCCCAGAGGTACATGTACCCATAGTTCAGAGGTTTGAGACATTGTTGAGAAGGCCTCAATAACACCATTTTTTAGTCTTAGGCCATGTTGATTTGATTATATGGATGACATCCGCGCGCGCATGAATTTTCGGCCGTTTCCAAAAAAAAAAGTTTTCAACCATACTGTAAATCGTGCAAAACAGTTACTACATGAGCAAAAATATACCATAAGTTGCAAGGAAAAGATTTAGAAACGATACCAATGTCGTAGAATGCCAAAATCAAAGGAAAACAGACAAAAATGTAAAGAAATGAATTCGAAGAGTAGATTATTCGCCATAACATATTCTGTGCCATTTGTTCAACCTTCATGACCACGTAGATTTCATAGTGAAAGCAACTTTTTTTTTTGCCAAACTTTTTTTTATTCGCACGCGCGCATCAGTTTTGGGGTTCCCAGAGGATGTCATCCATATAATCAAATCAATATGGCCTTAGGGTACACGACAGGATTATGAAAGTTGATTTTAGCAGTTGATAAAGTCCATAAAGTGGGTTTGTGAATGAGCTTGATACATGCAATGATCGATGATATGTCTAAAATAATTGGGAACTATTGGGGCTCCTGTACTCACTTATTTTCATGGTCACATTCGGTGTTGGTGTGGTGGGGGCAGGAGTCGTAGGGTCTGAAATAATAAATAAAACATTTGTTAAAATCAAAAGTGAAACGGCAAAAACCAGAGACAAGAAGAAATTGCATACTTCGTTAGGTAGACACAGGTAGGCAAAAGCTGGGACGTGTGCCTAATAAACAAAAGAAGGGCTGACATTCTGATGTCGATTATTTTTCTATTGTCCCGAAAATGTCCCAAACTGTCCTTTTAGTTGTCCCAGCCTAAATTTTAGTGGTCACTGGCCGTCGGGACACCGTTAATTTCGAGCCCTGCTGTACTTACATGAAACAGCAACAGCGATGTCTTGCGTTGGCGCCACCCCAACGCCATTGTCGGCAGTACACGTGTAAGCTCCCGTCGCGGTGCGTGAAATGTTGGTGAAGGTGAGAGTTCCCGCCGCTGCGTCTGCCACGGCCGCGCCGAGAGGGCCTCCATCGCTTCTCGACCAGGAGAAATTTGGAGCTGGGACGCCGTCAGCGGCACAGGTCAGGGTTAGGTCATCACCCTCTTTTACATTAGGGTCAGGGGAGGCTGACATTCCAGTTATGGTAGGCTGGTCTGTAGAAAGAAGTTAAAATGTAAAAGAGCCTTCTCACATCAAGTGACGCATAGGGCGGTGCCCATCTCCTTTTTCAATAGCCCTTGGGCCACACAGCAGTGCTATCACTACAGCAGGGGGCTAGTCCGCTGGTAGTGGTGTGTGTTTAACTCCCATACTCTTTCCCAAATCACTGTGCTAAGCAGAGAGAGCAGACACACTCACTGTCCGGTTTATCGTCTGTATGTACCATTTTTCAGGTCTTTGGTATAACTCGGCCGTGGATCGAACTCACGATCTACCGAATGCAAGGCGAGCACTCTACCCACTTGGCCATTGCACTGGTTTGTAGGAAGAAGGGCAGAACAGAAATGAAGGGGAACAAGTTTATGTATTTGATCACAACATTGTAGCCCACAGCTTAATTGCGGTGTACTACACAATACAAAGTAGAAGCCTCGAGAGAAAACAATAGCTCAGTGGACATCTAAAAAGAATGAATTCTACATATAGGATTATAGACTAGAAGTATAGAATGGCATTTTTTGATTTTAAACTAATTCTTTTCCATCATATCTACATGCTCAAAATCGTACTGGTTTGTCAAAATGTGATGTATCTGAGCTTGAATTCAATACCATCAATGACATCTGAAAAATCTTTTACAGGTTCGAGTGATCAACAATGATAAAATAAAGATATAAACTCTAAAACTCACAGTTCACTATGAGGGTTGCACCAGAATTCAACGAGGTCCCGTCGTCATAGCTGGCCTGGAACTCATATCCACCTGCGTCTGCTTTCTCCACATTCAGGATTTTCAGCGTTGCGACCCCTTCAATCTCAAATTTTCCCTGGAATTGTGTAAATAATGGCAGTTTATACGCACGCAGTATACTGTAATTCACTTCGTGGTAGCAACAGTTTGCAGTCTGAGAAAAATGGCGGCAGGTAGTGCTGCGTACGTAAACCCACATTTAGGTTCAGGTCTGGATTCAAGTCCAGGGGTTTAGGTTCAGTCCCGGATTTGCAAGTTCGAACCTAAACCCATGGCAAATACAAAATTGCATGTTGGCAACCTTACAATGTTGTCTGGGTAAAATTTTGGCCACATAACATGGCACTTGACAATGCCCGATGGCAATGTTTTTATTCATTTTGCAGCAAAGTTTTTGCAATCTACAGAAGGTTTTAGGTGGTTTGGAAAGAAAAGGGGTATGTGAAATGGTCTTTTATGGTAACAAGTCCAGACTCGGTTCTTGACTTTTAGGTTTTTTTGGACTTGAACCTAAACATTCTTACAAGTCTGGATCCAAGTCCAGTGAACCGGTACACAGCACTAGCGGCAGGTGCAGAAAAAAGAAAGTTGGCAAATTGTTTCTTGACGGTAATACAGGGGTTTTTCTAGAAAAAATTAGCAAGAGGGAGCAGATTGCAAGCATGGCAAGGAACAAGGCGACCAAGGGGGATTTTTTAATAAGAGTAACACAGTTTGTAATGCTAGAATGCACTGTTGCATTGTTTTTACATCTTTACTGGAAAAAGATCATTTTGAGAATTAGACTAAATGGTGTGTAAGTAGCCACATAGGGTTCAATTTGAAAATTGGTATGAGGGAGCTGGCTGGTTACATGAGGGAGCAGCTCCCTTATTCCCCTGTTTAGAAAAACCCCTGGTAATAAGTTCGCAGCATAAAGTGGCTGCGCAAACTGTGAACATAAAAAAACTTATTACAGTATAAGAGTCTAGAACTGCATGGATGTTGTGTGGACTGAGTTCGCAGTATTCAATGGATAACAAAAGTTCTTTGCACAACCAAGAGATATTTGTCTGTTAATACTTTGGAAGTACTGACTGCAGTTCTATTTCCCACTGCTAGGTGGTGCTGCAGTGGGAAGAATGCAGTCCCAGACCTTACTAAGCTAGTATCCCCCCTCACAGTTCAGGACTAGAGTAGATTTTTTTGTTGGCAAGCAAATGTCCCTGACTTCTATCTAGGGTCCCTGACGTCTGAAGTCTAGAGTCGGCAGTTTTTAGAGAAACAGAAAACTCTAGGCCTAGGCCTAACTAACGACCAATGACTTAAAACTTAAACATAGAACTGACCTCATAGCCAGGAAAAGGTGCTGCCTCCTGCCCGGCTTGCCGTTGGATCAGTCCAGCGCTGGGCAGCTTTCTCCAGAGCTCGAACAACTGCGAGGCGCCGTCGTCGTTCAACTGCCATTCCAGCCGCGCCGTCCCGCCGACTTCCACGGTCACGTTCCCGGGTTCGCTGGTGAAGGAGGGGGCCGCTGTGGAAAAACAAAACCAGTTCATGAGTCGTATCCAAAGACCCGTTTTAATTATACGTAGAGCCAAATTGGCAAATTGAAGGTTTGACTATACATACTCAAAGAACCCACCGCACTTATCGAAAAGAGTAGGGGATCTTCCCGGTGTGAGTGGTTCAAAACCTTACAGTCCAGTCTTACGCAGCTTGTACATGTACGCACATGTACAAAACTGGTGTGTTACGCCTAAAGGCGGTTTACCGGTTATGCGAAACAAACAAACAAGCAAAAACTCGACTTGTACTAGTACTACTGTATTACTAAGGAAACCAAAAATTCAGCCTGCTATAGACCGCAAGAGTGATTGGCAACTGTAAATCCTTTAATTCTGTGGGAACCTACCGGTAGTTTCATGAAATTTAGTTAAGTAGACCTCACAAGTGTATCAGTATAAGCTCCTTACGTGGGAATTTTGGTAGAGAATCCTATAAAATTAAGTCGGTACATTTTAGGGGCACAAAAACAACTTTTCTCTGGAGTAACAAATCCTTCCTCTATCCTGGTACACAAAGACTCATTTTGTCATCAGTGACTCCGAGTGATCCCGGATTTGCAAAGGCAATCATGTGACAGAAACTCGGGGGTAAAACATCAACAGTGCTATTTACACAGCAAAAAATGTAGGCTTCTTTTGCCTCAAGCAATTCATACTTTTGTTTGTCACTGTTTCGCAGAACGCAATGAAATGTAGTTGTGTGAGAATAACAAGATATGTACAAGTACATGTACCTGATGCATGAAAATGTATGTTTCTTTTGCTTGTAAGGAAATCCAAATTTTGACTGATTTGGGCTTAAAACACGCATTAAAACACAAATGTAGGTGTGCAAGTGGGAATAACTTTGTTTTTTTTAAATTTCAAGCCAGATTATACCTGACATTGTTTCAGATGCAAAAATCAGAATTAATTTAACTGTTTTACCTCTTTTATACATTAGCATATGTACCTGCTTTGTGTTTACATTGCAAAAAGTATGAAAGTGTTAACCTACATATGTACTCATGAAATTATATAATATGCATGTCAAATTTCTTGAATGAAATACCAGGCTTTTAATTTAAGTTTGAACTCGGAACTGAAATTCTACAAATTGCTTAGCCTTAGGAATAGTACAGAGAACTGTAAGACACCCAATCAACATGCTTAATGGACTAGCCCCAAGTCTTAGGGTTTACACACCAACCAACGGCAAAGGTTAGGAATGTTTGTTCATAAAGGTGGAACGTTAAATCATTTAACATGGACTCCCACAGTAATCTCCAAGCAGATCCCTATCGGTGGCAAAAAAGACAGTATCAAATTGGCCAGGCAGTATCCATTAGCCCGAGAAGCTCCATTAGCCACCGACGGGTAGGGATCAGGACAAAAAAAAACGGCCATATATAAAAAGGTAACGATCATTCCCCACAACCTCTGCTTGGAGAGTACTCCCACAGGGGAACAGTTGGCTGCTTCAGGTGGGGGGGGGGCAGGTATGCCAAGGCCAAACAGTTCGAAGTTTGTCAACTAATGAACTACAATAAAGTACATGTTTCTTGTACATGTAACGTTAGTATTGAAAACTGTGGTCATTCAAGCGTGTTGGGTTCTTTAACTCACAGCCTGCTATATTTGAATGCACAAACTTCATGGTAACTGTCTTCCAGTCACCAAAAGATCTGCTTGGATACTTGCAAGTCATATTTAGAGTTAGACCAGGTCTCTAGCCAGCTCAAAGTCTTTTCCATCAGTACAGGTTCATGATCGGACCTGGGGGAAGAGTGTTCACAATCTCAGGGGTCCAGGGACAAATTTTTTCTTTTCAATTTCTCACAATTTCAGAGGTAAACTACGGGGGTTGTTGTTGGTCCTTTATTTGGATGTGTTATATTTTTACCTAAGATTTTTTTGTCATTGTCACATGTCGCAAAATTCGGAAAAACAGCCATTTTGGATAATTTTGACCCGCAAAATCCCACACCACGGGTGGCCAGAAACCCACGTCTAGAAAGAGAAACTTTTTGGTGGCCAAGGGTTTCAAGGGGTTTCTGAGTGGTAAACTGTTTCTAGTCTAAAGTGAGCCTAAGGTCCACTTTACACTCGTAAAAAATTGTGTTTTGAAAAAACGTTTTAGAAAAAACGCGTTCCAGATCGTGTGTAAAGAGAATTTTTTTTAAAGCCTGGGGGTCGCACGTTCTATTGTCTGTTAGAACAGCTGTTACTCCCCACGTGGGACCACCTGTGACCCAAATTAACACCCCCCCCCCCAGGCAACATTCCCTCAATTGTGCCGCATAATGACACCTCCTTATTAAACCAAACTGCCTCCATTGTAAATAGCTGCTCAAGCTTTCAGCCAGGAAGACAGATAGATGACACTTTGACAGAAACAGGATTGAAAAAAGATTGATGGGGAAAATCGCATATTTCAAGTATCTAAGATATTCTTCTAAATCTTTTACAGATTAAGCAGCTTTGAAGCATCAGCTTTTCTGTAGATGTATAGATTTTTTTTATGAAGAAAACTATAAATTTGCTGCAATGATTATGGATCATTACGAAAGGTGTTTTATTCAAGAAAACTTTTGGGGGGTCTCCATGTAATGTAACACCCTATGCAGACTATTTGAATTGAAATTCTTTCCCCCCATACAGACTCTCAAAAACGATAATCAAAAATGATTGACCATACAGGTACTTCCAGGTATACATGTAATTAGTGGCTCTGTCTCATGGGACAAAACTAGACAAGAAGATGGCAATGATTATAGTCCCTTTGCCCCTCCCTTATTAGTCATTACAGGTATTCAGCTGTATTCCTCCATTTATTATGGTTATAAAAGGCTTCCAGGTACTAGTATAGGAACTGGCCTGTGATTTACATATTGAGATTTTGTATGTACTAGTAATAGTAGTATTAGTCATACCCTAATTTTTGTCTGTTAGTCATGCCAGAAACACTACAATTAGATTTACATATAAAAACAGGTGGATAAGCTGAGAGCCATTTTACCATTTGAGGTCTACTTGGTACCATGGAGGTAGAAAAATCTCTCTTCTACCTCCATGCTGGTACTAGTATTTTGAAAGCAATTGGTAAAGAAAAAAAAATTGACAATTGCTATCATGAAGAATATACTTGCTGTGGACTAACCAAATACTTGCTACATTTGTGATACCCACCCCCAGATTTTAATGGAACAACCCTAGATTACTCTCCAAGCAAAAGTTTGAGTTTGGGGTTATTTTTGGCGTGTTTTTAGGTTGTTTTTTTATCAGGGGTTCTCTTTTGCACTGGAATTTTTTTTTTTCACCCAACAACAAAAAAAAAAACCAGTGCAAAAAAGAGACCCCGATAAATGAACATAAAAACATCTCAAATATAACCCCAAACCTCTACTTGGAGAGAACCCTAGATATCATTGAGTACTTGACAAGCTCCAGACAGTCATGTGAGTTACTCTTTGTTTGGCGACACAACATGTCTTGACCTTTTACATCAAGTTGTTGCTGAATTTTTCATTTTGAGTAAACATCGTGGAAGGATTGCTTCAAAGTTCAAGGGGAGGGTCACTAATTATCCAAGGGAGGGGTAACCATTTTCAATCCTAGTACGTTGGCTGAGAATTTATGAGTAATTGGCCAGTTGAGTTTGGTCACGGTATACTTGTACTTGACAGCACCAGAGGACCCTTACAAGGGGTTATTCTAGCCAAACATTCTAGCCAAATATTTCGGCGAATTCTAGACTACAATCCATGACCACTTACGTGACTTAGAAAGGCTAGGTGCAGCTCTATGCCAATGGGAAAAACTTACTCCAGTGCTAAACTATTTTTTTCAGTGCCAAATTCATTCCTCGGAAACTTACTGTGAGAAACTTAAACAAAAGAAATTAAGAATGGTTGTAATTCAATATTTGCAACCTAAAAACAAGCTCCAATCAACAATTGCTTAAAAGTTAAAGAAAGTTCAAGAAGAGGGAGGGAGGAATGAGTGAAAAAATATGCTAAAAACTTAACATGTTACGATACATACATCTGTAAGTCACTCAAAGACTAGTTTTCTACAACATTCTATTCTAACATGTTACTGCTAGTCAAACCTACCATAGTACCAACTTGTTATTTCTTGTGAAGTTTAATACATGTACATGTACTTTTTATCAGTCACAATCTCTTTTGACTGTCCCCCCAGAAATCCTTTAGAAAAAAAACTTACATGGTTCTTTCTACTAAATTCTAGTCTTGAGGTCATTTAAGTAAATACTCAAGTGGTTACACGATTCCTCATGTACACACTGAACACACAAAGACTAGGCAACCCAATCCCTCGTTTCCACTTCAAGTTTGTAAGGCTTGTAAACAATTAGTTCTACTTCAAGTGATACGCTTACATACACCTTGAGTTCTTCTTAACCATCTAAACCTCTTTGGTTCTTCCATAAATCCTTGTCTTGTACCTTGTAATGCTTGAAAACAAATAACTCTGCTTAGTGATGGCTTTAAACATGGAGGTACTGATTTTTCTACCTCTATCAGGGGTGTCAGTGTATACAGTGCAATTTTACGGAATACAGTGCAATTGTATTTAATTAGCATACAGTCCAATTTTACAGAATAAAGTGCAATCGTATTAGTATACAGTGCAATTTTACTAGTAAAATTGCACTGTATGCTAGTAAAATTGCACTGTATTCCATAAAATTGCACTGTACATTGTATACTAATGCCATTGTATTCTGTAAAATTTCACTGTATAGTAGTAAAATTTCACTGTATTCTGTAAAATTGCACTGTATTCCACTATGGCACCCCTGTCCATGCTTTAATTCATCAAGGAGGTTTAATCTTAAACCTCTACTCTAGGTTACAAAGAAACACACTGAGTTCTTCCAAGGATGTTTAGATTCCTTAGTTCTTCCATAAATCCTTGTCTTGTATCAAAATGTGAATCAGGTGCCAGTTGTCTTCTGAATTTAGTATGTGCATTATTCATGACATCCTGACATAAGAATTTACATTTTATATAATTCTCGAGGGGTTCTGAAATCCTTTGGGGTTGTTGAAATTAGGACAGGTGATTTTTGAATTAATATTTGCATGGAAAAATTAATTCTTGCATGGAAAGTTAAAAAATGAAAAATTATACAGCCTTTTAAGCACATTAAAAATCTGACTTCATTCAATCATCGGTTTGGCCATAAAATTCTTTATGTTATTTTTTTTAGTATTCAAAGAAATATCTTTTCAAGACTTCATTTTAAAAACTCAAAAGTAGAAAAATATAATGCAGAACACTTAATTTTGTACAAAAACAATTTAAGTAAGAAAGGAAAAAAAACAAACCATTTTATCCATAATACTTTATCAACATTTTTACACATTTCCATGACAGCTGAAGAATTTCTGTCTTTACTTCTCCATTAGATCGGAACAAAAACAAGACAGCAAAGACTGGAATGTGAAACATGGGCAACCGAAAAGAAAAACAATCCCAAGCATCCGTGATATGAGTCACTCCTGCACTTTCTGTAAACATCACATTTTTGTGGGCTTCTCTTCTAAGCTAACAAAAGCAGTTCATGCATTTTCACATTCAATTTTACACATCCATTGATGGCAAACACCAAACGAAATTCAAAAGGGCCCATCAAGGTCTTGTTGCATGTTTTATTCCCTTGTGTTGGCTACAATCCAAACAGTGCAACAAAAGACTGAGGGAGAAAGAAAAGGTAGTTCCTTTGGGACATTAATTTGAAGGATTGCGGTAAAAAGGAATGGCCAAGTACACGTGACGATACACAGACTTGGCGCTTAAAAATTTGGGTCGCTTTGCCTGAGGGTATAGCCTTGGGGCCGGCCCGGTTAGGCTCCAACCTTCAGACTCCGGTAGCCTTGTTCTGAACTCATAATATAGATACCATCCTGTTATTCATGCGTAACAATATAAGGCGACATAATCTAGGCCATGGCGGTGTTCAGACTACACCAGGGGAGAGACTATCAGAGAGAAGAAACCTCACAAAACGGCCGGTACCGAGGCTAGCGCCTGAGACATTGACACATGTACATAATTTTCTGTCACGTTACAAACCAGCTGGACAGAAATGTTACATTCCGTCTGGCCACAAAACGTACGTGTTTTACAGACATAGACTGGATTTTCTGACCCTGACTGAAGCCTCCATACTGAAACGACATGTTAGCATATGTTTTCCACCGGATCCGCCGGTTTTGACAGCGAATCAAATTCAAAATCCCTCCCCCACGCTAGCCGAAAAACATGTTTCGCTTCCAGAAAAACACGCCACGCCCACACACACTAAATCTCTGAAAAACTCAACCGCACACTTACCTAAACCTCCGCCGAAAAAACACGCCAGAACCACGCACAATTCAGCAAACCGGGCGCCTGCCATGTTGAGTAGTCGTCAGCTCGATGTTTCGCCTTCTGTTCGACACAAAACCTGGCGGGGAGTTCTTTGTTCTCGGCCGTCTGGCGTGGTGGTGCTCTGGGCGGAAGGCGCGCTCGGTCTGAGCTGTTAGCGCATCGCCTGAGGGGCAGACAGCCGTGTAGATACACCTGGTTACACCGCTGATAGCAATCGCACAATCTCCCCAACAGGTGAGGGCAACGATCTCATGAAATATATTTAAAAACAACAAGCAGAATTTAAATTCTTTTTACAAAGTGATTAAAAGTGATGCTTGAAGCTAATGCTTGAATAAGGAAAGTGTTGTTTTTGTAAGGACTAGCTTTTTCTGTAGCCTGAAAAGTTGGCCTGTAAATACTAGTAATGTATTCAGAAACACGCTCTCATAATTGTTGGGCGATTGAGGATGTTGTCGTTGTTTTAATTGTCCTGTTATGGCACCCCTAGGGGAGTGTGAACTGCATATTAATTAGCTAATTATCCATTTTTCGCATTTCCGGACAGGCGCCCCCGCTAATTGTTCAGGCCTGGCATAGCCTGGCGCAGTCACTCAGGATGACAGAAACGCATCACTGTGGAATGTTCCAGGCTAGTGCGACAAGTGCAAGTTATGAATATTGGGGAAAATGAAGTTTTTTGAGCAGTCTGGAAACGTTGATTTCTTACTTGGCAATCCATCCATCCATCCATCCATCCATCCATCCATCCATCCATCCATCCATCCATCCATCCATCCATCCATCCATCCATCCATCCATCCACCCATTCATCAATTCTTTCTTTCTTTCTTTCTTTCTTTCTTTCTTTCTTTCTTTCTTTCTTTCTTTCTTTCTTTCTTTCTTTCTTTCTTTCTTTCTTTCATTTTGATTCCAAGGAGATCAAAGGTTCATTTCACGTAATTTCTCAATTTCCTTGGTGATTACGTAACCGATGACGTCACTCTGCCAGTCCTCCTACGCTGTCCTTTCACCGCTTTGGAATTCGTTTAATCCAAAACTTTCCAGTCGCTGCGCAAAGTAATGCCACCAGGGCCATTCAGTTTAGGCCTTTAGTGGGGTGCGTGTTAGAATTCGATCCCTTTTTATTGTCGATTTCCCTGTCCTTATAGTAAATCATTTGGCGTGTTATTTCAGGTGATGATGTTAATGTGGGAATGTGATCTCCAAGCAGACAATACGGTGGCAAGGCAGTCTACCAGGCTTCGGGAGGCGGCTTGGAAGCCTTGGAAGAGTAGAAACTAGCCATTATAATAGAGAGATACATGCCGAGGGAGTTGGTTTGTGTATCGATGCTCTCGCAATATTCAAAGAAATGGCTGCTAGAGGGTTAGTGTTTTAATACGACAACAACTAAGCGCAGTACCGTGACAGACAGACACGCGATTTTTACCTTCGCCAAGAAGGTTATGTTTTCAGTAGCGTTTGTCTGTGTGTGTGTGTGTGTGTAATTTAGCAAGATAACTCAAGAAGCAGTGGATGAATTGGAATGAAACTTGGTAGGTGGGTAGGTCTTCATGAGACCTAGAAATGATTAGATTTTGGGTCCCCTGGCGGCTTTCCTAGGTACTGCAGCTGAACTTCCGGTTTTGATATCTCATGTTCTGGACATGCTAGGGTCACGAATTTTGGTTGGTAGATAGCTCTTGTGGTAGGGAAGAAGTGACATGAGATTGGGTCCCCTAGCGCCTTGTTCTGGAACTGCAGGAGCATTTGTTGAAAAAAAATTTGAAGGACGATAACTCAAGATCCGGTTGACGTATTGTCGTGATTTTTGGCATGTATGTAGTTGAAGTGATGCTTGACATAATCAGATGGCAATTATGCAAATCAGGAGCTAATTTGCATAATTAATGAGGAAATTCTATAAATCTGCTTTGTTCGATAATAGAACTATGAAACACTTGTGACATCTACTTGAGAACGAGAAAAACATCTGAGGATATAGATTATGTAAATGAGAACCTAATTTGCATAATTAATGGCAAATTCTTATAATTCCATAGTTGTCACTGCTGCACCCAATTTCATACTTGCCACATTTGGAAGTGAAGTGAAGTGAAGATCAATAAACATAATTTATTCAAATCATGACCTCATTTGCATAATTTATGAGGAAGTGCTATAATAGCCTTTTTGTTATGATAAGGCTGTCATTGGATGGAGAATATGATCAACTGATATAATCCATGCAAATGAGGCTCTTATTTACAAAATAAATGATTAAAATTGTATAATTTGTCACCCGCAAGAGTTAACACCATTTGGCGAAGGTATGAGATCGTGGAACTCTTGTTACAGGTGTTGTTAGAAACACCACAGCTGGTTCTCTGAGCCTCAAGTTAAGGGACGATTCGCTAATAGCTTAGTCTGGGTTCAATGGTTTCTCTACTTTCTGAGAAAAGTAGGAATTAGGATGAATATTGTCTAGTCAATAGATGTGTAATTATCTATTTCTAGGGAAATGTGTAGAAAATTCGACATTTAGAGGCAGTTGGTGTTGAAATCTGCATGAATTAATATTGTCTCGTAGCGACAAAAAAATCACGGTATGCGGTACCTGGTGTCGAAATCGTCATGGATCAAAAGCGCCCCATGGCGGCGAAACAAAATCACTGCAGTGATAGAGCAACCATTACGGTGCAGTCCCGCACTGAACTGCTAGAGGCCGCTTTTGATCCATGCACGTGCAAGCCGTAACTTGACCATATATATTCCATATATATGCACCCCCGTTTATACTTCCGGCCCTGCCAGGTAGGAATGGGGTCCCGGTATTGGTCGATTTCGCGCGCTCCACTAGCGCTCATAAAGGCGACGACCGTTCATAAAGGCGACGACCGCTCTGAGAAAAGGCGACGACCGTTCATAAAGGCGACGACCGTTCATAAAGGCGACGACCGCTCTGAGAAAAGGCGACGACCGTTCATAAAGGCGACGACCGTTCATAAAGGCGACGACCGCTCTGAGAAAAGGCGACGACCGTTCATAAAGGCGACGACCGCAATACGAGACGGAAATTTGCTACGGCGAAAAAGTACAGGGTACGCACCCCGACCAATCTAATCTGGACATTGCTCCGAAATTGGTACATTCCTCACAAAATCGGACATTCCTCCAGGTTTGAGCGTACACTCCTCCAGGTGAGCGGACGTTCCTCCAGTTTTGAGCGTACATTCCTCCAAAATCGGTACACTTCTCCGCGTGATTGAGCGTACATTCCTCCAGTTTTGAGCGTACATTCCTCCAAAATCGGTACACTTCTCCGCGTGATCGGTACACTTCTCTACGTATCCACGCGGAGAAGTGAGAACGGCCAAGGTACGGCCTAGGTACGGCCTAGGAACGGCCTAAGAACGGCCAAGGAATGGCCTAGGAACGGCCTAGGAACGGCCTAGGAACGGCCTAGGAACGGCCAAGGAACGGCCTAGGAACGGCCAAGGAACGGCCAAGTTCGCCATCACCGTCTGACAATCCGCCGTCTAGACGCGGTTC